CCATGGGATCCCTAAGGGATGCTATGGAATCCCTAAGGGGAGGCGGCAGAACCCTTCAGGAATGCTATAGAATGATTCAGGGATGCTATCATCCCTAAGGGATGCCATAGAATCTTCAAGGGATGCGATAGAACTCCTGAGGGGAGGCTGTGGAACCCCTGAGGGATGCTATAGAATCCCTAAGAAGGGAATATATAGAATCCCTAAGGGATGTTATAACATTCTTAAAGGGATGCTATAGAATCCTTAAGGGATGTTGTAGAATCCCTGAGTGATGCTATATAATCCCTCAGGGATGCTATAGAATCCCTGAGGGATGCTATAATTTCCCTAAGGGATGCTGTAGAACCCCTAACGGATGCCATAGAATCCCTGAGGGATGCTATAGAATCCTTAAAGGGATGCTATATAATCCCTAAGGGGATGCTAAATAATCCCTAAGGGGATGCTATAGAATCTTCAAGGGGATGCTACAGAATCCTTAAACATGGATGCTATAGAATCGTCCAGGGATGCTATAGAAAACCTAAGGGATGCGATCGAATCCCTGAAGGATGCTATAGAATCCCTAAGGGTTGCTACTGAATCCCAAAAAGGTGCTATATTAATCCCTAAAGAATGCTATATAATCCCTAAGGGATGCGATAAAATCCCCATGGGTCCCGGCGTGTTACTGGGCGTCCCTCAGTGGCCTGCCCCAGAGTGGGGAGGCGATTCCCAAACGGCTTGAACCACGAATGAAGAGAGGGAGAGGAGCGCGCCCACGTCAGCCGCAAGGCCACCAGAGCCACGGGAGTCAAATCCGCCGCCGTGCCTCCTGCACGGCAGAGGCGTGTTAGCTGGGCCGGCACGGGAACGAAAAGAGCTCCCCGCGGGGCCAGGGCCACGATCCTCGAGAGACGTGTGCCGAAATAATGTTTCGGTAGGGCTCCGTATTGGGCCAGGGCCACGATCCTCGACAGGGGTGTGCCGAAATGAAATTTCGGTGGGCCTCCCTGTGAGGTCTGCGCCACGATCCTCGACAGGGGTGTGCCGAAATGATGCTTCGGTGGAGCCCAGGGCCACGGTCCTCGAGAGGGGTGTGCCGAAATGAACATTCGGTGGAGCTCCCTGTGGGACCAGGGCGACGATCCTCGAGAGGGGTGTGCCGAAATGAAGCTTCGGTGGAGCTCCCTGTGCGGCCAGGGCCGCGATCCTCGAGAGGGGTGTGCCGAAATGATTTTTCGGGAAAGCCCTATAGGCTTCCCGCAAGGTTCCTATAGGATTCATAAAGGCCCTATAATTCCTATAGGACTCCTATCGGATTCCTATAAGATTCGCAGAGGCCCTCTAGGATTCCCATGGGATTCCTACCGGATTCTCATAGGATTCGTAGAGGCCCTCTAGGATTCCTATAAGACTCCTAAAGGATTCGTGGAGACCCTATAGGATACGTATAACAAGCATATAGGATTCCTATCGGATTCGTAGAGGCCTTATAGGACTCCTATGGGAGTCTTACAGGATATGTAAAGGCTCTCGGGCATTCCTATACGATTCCAATAGGAGTCCTATAGGGTTCGTAGAAGCCCGATAGGAATCCGATGATATTCATATAGGAATCTTATAAGATTCGCAGAGGCCCTATAGGATTCCGATAGGTTTGCTATAGGGTTCCGATAGGATTCGTACAGGCCCTATAGGATTATCATGGGATTCCTATAGGGTTCCTATAAGTATCGTAGAGGCCTTATAGGATTCCTCTGGGATTCCGATAGGAATCGGAGCAGGTAGGTTTCCCATCGGAATGCTATAGGATTTCCATCGGATTCGTAGAGGCCCTATAGGATCCCCATTGGATTCCTACAGGGTTCCCAAAGGAATCAAGCCCTATAGGATTCCTATAAGATTCCAATTGGATTCCGATGGGATCCGTAGGGGCGCTCTAGGATTCCCATAGAAATCCTATTAAGATCCTTATGAGATTCGTAGAGGCCCTATAAGATAAGATTCCTATGGGATTCCTGTAGGATCCCGATAGGTTTCGTGAAGGCCCTCTGGGATTCCCATGGGAGTCTTATAGGATATGTAAAATGCCCTCTGGGATTCCTATACGATTCCAATAGGAGTCCTATAGGGTTCGTAGAAGCCCTATAGGAATCCGATGATACTCATATAGGAACCTTATCAGATTCGCAGAGGCCCTATAGGATTCCGATAGGTTTGCTACAGTATTCCGATCGGATTCGTACAGGCCCTATAGGATTATCATGGGATTCCTCGAGGTTTCCTATAAGTATCGTAGAGGCCTTATAGGATTCCTCTGGGATTCCGATAGGAATCGGAGCAGGTAGGATTCCCATCGGAAAGCTACAGGATTCCCATAGGATTCGTAGAGGCCCTATAGGATTCCCATTGGATCCCTCCAGGGTTCCCAAAATAATCAGGTCCTATAGGACTCCTATAAGATTCCACTTGAATTCCTCTGGGATCCGTAGAAGCCCTGTGGGATTCCCATAGGAATCCTATAAGATCGTTAAAGGATTCGTAGAGGCCCTATAGTATAAGGTTCCTCTGGGATTCCTGTAGGATTCCTATGGGTTTCGTAAAGGCCCTATAGGATTCCCATGGCATTCCAATAAGATCCCTTTATGATTCGTAGAGGCCCTATAGGACTCCCAAAGGATGCCTATGGGATTCCCATAGGAATCCTTAAAGCCCTATGGGATTCCCATGGGATTCCTATGGGTTTCCCATAAGAACCCTGAAGGCCCTATAGGTTCCCTACAGGCTTCCTATAGGATTCCGATCGGATTCGTAAAAGGCCCTATAGGATTCCCATAGGATTCCGATGGGATTCCCATTGGATTCGCAAAGGCCTATACGATTCCTATAAGATTCCCATGGGGTTCCCATGGGTTCGCAGGAGGCCCTATAGGATTCCTATAGGTTTGCTATAGGATTCCTGTAAGGTTCGCAGAGACCCTATAGGATTCCCATAGGAATCCTATAGGATTCGGGGTAACGTGCGTTGCGTTGCGTTGCGTTGCGCTGGGGGGGGGGGGGGAAGCTGGGGCGGGCGCCAGTGAGTGGTTTCGTCAACAACTACAAAGCTCATGTTAAGACTGCTCGCTCTTACTTGATCGCGTGCCAATCAACACGTATATCCTAAACCCTCGGCGCTCGCCCTCTTCGTCTTCAATCGTACCCTCCTGGAGGTCTATCTTCCTTCCCTGCCGGGTACAACTGGCGCAGCCCCTGAAACAGTGGAAAAGCGGACGGCTCTAAGGGGGAGGGAGAAAGATGGAGAACGGTATTAGCAGGAGGGGGCCATGAGCAGAAAACACGTGGCCGAACCAAACGGGCCCATCGGGCGGGTAGATCCTATTGGGCGGGTCGGGAAGGCGGGCCCGAGCGGCCGGGTCAAGAAGGCGTGTTGCCGAAGCGTGAGTACTGCATGAATCGCGAGGAAGTCTCGAGCGACAGCGCGATTCCCAAGGACATCGTAAGAAAGGCCAAGGCAAAATCGTGGTTCCTGAGTGTCGAGGGAGCGCCGCCTGAATAAATTGCGAGGACGTCCCACGCGATAGTGCGATTCCTCCATTGATTGTGAAGAGATATCGCGCGAGAGCGCAATTTTGGAAGACACTGTGAGGAGGTACCAAGCGGGAATCGTTGTTGTTGTAAGCCGGGGGCCAGACCCAGTTTTGTGACACCCAACTTTCCCTTGAAAAAACTGCGCGCGAGCCCCGGGAGGAACACTTCAGTAGAACAACTCTATGATTACTAGGCGGGGGTATCAACGATGATTTCTTAGAAATGAAATGTCAACAGCAACAATAGCAACAACAATAGCATCAGCCACACCAACAACAACAAACATTTTTAGACTGTTCGCTCCTATCTGCTCACGTGCCAATCCATACGTATATCCCAAGCCCTCGATACTCGCCCTCGTCGTCTTCGATCGTACCCCGTTGGGGGTAGATCTTCCTACCTGCCACGTACATTTAGTGCAACCCCTAAAACAAGGGAAGAGGGGACGGGTGGATGGGGGAGGGAGAAGAATGGAGCACGAGAGAAATTAACAGGAGAGGGGCATGGAGCAGAAAACAAGTGGTAGAACCAGACGGGCAGATCGGGTGGGCAGACCCATAGCGGGCAGGTCGGGATGGCGGGCCCAGGCAACCAGGTCGAGCAGGCGGCTTGCTGAAGCATGGGTCCTGCATGAATCGCGAGGAAGTCTCGAGCGATAGCGCTATTCCCAAGCAAATCGTGAGAAAAGCCAAAGCGAGAGCGTGATTCCTGAGCGCCGAGGGCGCATCGTCTGAATAAATTGCGAGGAAGTCCCACGCGAGAACGCGATTCGGATGCAAATGTTGAAGAAATCCCGAGCGAGAGCGCGATTTGGGAATACATTATGAGGAAGTATCAGGCGGGAGCCGTTGTTGTTGTAAACCGGGGGCCAAAGCGTGAAGAATTATCAACGGCCCAGGGTCGACCGACACCCCGAAAGACCAATAGTGCAGGGGAACCTTGCGGAAACATTATATTATTGAGCTGACTTTTCCACTGCGCGTAGCAGAAACGCGGCGCAACACGAAAGGCGCTTTTGCAAAAGTGAGGTAGATGAAGGTCACATCTACATAGTGAGCCTCCAGATCTTTCAACCCGTTTCCCGAGGCTAGCGTTTCGTCGCGGACCACAATTTGGGCCCAGGCCCGGAACTAGCCCCCCGCAGCATTCGATTAACAACCCGTCTCGCTGTTTTTTCGTAGATCATGGAGGTCTGCGTCTGGGAGTCCAAAATCGATCTCGCAACCCGTTCGGCGGGCGGGCCCTGGCAAAAATCCCACCCGCTCTCTCGGCATAGGCGATTGGGGGCGACAGTTCTTCCAACCCCCTTCTTCCCTTCGGGGAGTGGTGTGCCACTGGGTCTTACTATTAAGCATCCCCTCCCCCATTTCGACTGGCCGCCGACCAACTAGGAGCAGTGAGGACCCTCCCCGCCATCCCTGTCAAAGAACAGTGCTAACACGTGGCGCCAAAGCACTTGGAGCCTGAGCGGGCAGCCCGCGATAACTTCACAATGGCTTTGTACAGCGATGACGAAGTGGATCACATTTGCCTACTTTGCACCCGCAAGCTGTCCGTACCTACAGCCAATACAAGCTGCTTGCTGGTGCACGTGCCGTACACCGTGCTGATCACCCCGCCGCCACACTGCACTAGCTCTCGGCAGGGATGGCGGGGGAATGCTCATACATTGCCCGATGTGTGCTGTCACGTGCACTGGCGCCCTTGTCGCCGCTGGGCGAACTCTGCGCGCGTCGAGAACGCGCTCAACATGAATTCGCTAGCCGATCGGGCCAGAGGCGTGTTCAGTCCCGGAAAGCAGGCGGCTCAGGTGAAGATAGCGTCAGGCGATTGCAGGTGCAGTCCGCTCGCGCGAGGGCGTCCCTGGAGGGTCTGCGGACCTTCCTGAGGCCGAAGTCGCCCCACGAGTGCCCCTTGAGCGCCCAACGAGCGCGGCTCCAAACCGTGTCAGGCCCCATGCGGGCAACGAGATGGCCCCGAGACGGCCCCGAGATGGTCCAAGCTGGCCCAAAGGACTCCCACGCAATCCCAGATGGCCGAAGAACTCCTCCTCGGAGGCTCCCAGAAAGGCCCAAGTCATCAAACAAAAATGGTTTTCCTGTGGTTGGCTTTATCGCCTCTGTGGACTCCAACGGCTTTCTCGGGCCCCGGAGTGGCCCCACGAAGGCCCCAAGAGAGCCCCAAGAGGGCCCCAAGACCCCCAGGAGGGCCTTAAGACGGTACCAGAAGAGCCCCGAGAAGGCCCAAGAGCGGCTCAAAGATGTGGCCCAATGGGCCCCAGGCCCGAAAATGGCACAGAGATCACCCCAAGACGCTTTCCAAGATGGTGCGACAGTGGCCTCAAGGCGAGCCCAAGACAGCTCAGTGGACTGCTAGGACACCTCCGGATGGCCGCATACACGCTCCCCGAAGGCCCCCAGGAAGGCCTGAGTCACAAGTTCCCCCCACAGGGCTTGCACTCAGAGGTCCCTGCCCGGCTGTCAGGTTCGGCAAGGCTTCTGGGCTGACGGCTTGTGCACGGCCGTGGGCGACTGGCCGGGATGTCCGAGTCTCCACCTGGTGCCTGGCCGTGGGCGCCTCGTGGGCGCCCCGTGCGCTGACTGCGATCTTGGGGCCTCTGGCGCTCTTCCCATACGGCTTACCCCTCATAGACTGCACAGAAGAGCCTGCATCGCACAGTCTACCCCACATAGCTTGCACCTCAAAGCTCAAACCACATAGATTGTACCACGTATAGTGCATCACATGACTTGCACCACATAGACCGCCTCACATGATTGCAACACCTAGCTTACACCACATTGAGTTGCACAGCTTGTACCACATAGCTTGCACTGGATAGCTCACACCACGTATGTTGAGCCACATAGCCTGCACCACATAACTTGCACCACACATAGCTGAAACCCTACAATTTCTACCTCGTAATTTGCGACGATCCGCGAGCCACGATCCTCGAAGGAAGGCCCGGGGGCGGCGGTCTTGTTAAACAGGTTTCCCAGATGGGGTCGGAGCAGGTGGGGTCGGAGGATCGTGCCGAATGGTCGACACATCACCGACACATCGGCGATGTAACGGCGATGCATCGGCGACGTTGGCGGTGCATCGGCGACGTCGGTGTGGAAAAAGTCGGGCTCAACATCGGGCCGCATCGCCGATGTACCGGCGATGCGGCGCGACCCTCCGACCCCATTTACTCTGACCCCATCTGGAAGGCCTAGGCTTGTTCTTCTCGGTCCAGCAGTGAGCCTGCCGGGGCCTCGATCCTCGATACACGATCCTGGTGAGCTCGAACACCTCGATCCCCTGCATTCCCCCTGCATTTGTCGGTTTCGTGCGTGTTCTTTTACTTGCTCGACGGTCCAAGACGCTCCTCGATGGTCCACGCGAAGAAAAAATGCACACGTCCGAGCAGTGCCCAGTGAGCCCGCCACGCCTCGATCCCCGAGGGCCTCGACCCTCGAGGGCCTCGATCCCCGAGCCTCGACCCTCGAGGGCAGGCCCGGGGGCGACGATGGTTTGCTCTGCTCGGACCACCAGTGAGGAGACCTGTTGGGCGTGGCTTAATGGGGGGGTCACAAATGGGGGGGTCAGAAAAGGTCACAAATGGGTCCTTTCGGGCCCCTCCAGAGCCCCATGGGGGCTCGTTTAGGTACCATTTGGGTACCTTTTCGGACCACGCTCGCCGCCCCCCCATTTATGACCCCCCCATTACGCGGCGCCCAAACCTGGCGGAATCTATCTGCCGCCGGGCGCCCTGGGGCGTGCCCCGCTCACAGCGCGGCCCTCGTCCTGCGCGCCGCTCCGCCGGCGGGTGGGGGGGCGGGCAGCGGCGGCTCCAGCCGCCGGGGCGGCGAGCCCCTAGACCTGGCCGTGGGGCGCTTGACGACCTCTCCAAGCTCCCCCTCCTCCTCCTCCAAGCTCCCAGCTCCTCCAGGCTCCTCCTCCTCCTCCTCCTCCTCCTCCTCCTCCTCCTCCTCCTCCAAGCTCCAGGCTCCGAGCTCCTCCTCCCCCTCCTCCAAGCTCCTCTTCCAAGCTCCTCCTACTCCAAGCTCCTCCTCCTACTCCTCCTCATCCTGCCCACCTCTCCTGCCCCTCAGACAGCGGGGCGTCCGACGGACGACGACGACGACGATGACGACGGCGACGACGAACGACGACGACGACGACGGACGACGATGACGATGACGACGACGACGACGATGAAGACGGATGACGACGACGAAGACGACGACGACGGACGACGGACGACGGACGACGGACGACGACGACGACGAACGACGACGATGACGACGACGGACGACGACGACGGACCACGACGACGACGATGATGACGACGACGACGACGGACGACGGACGACGGACGACGACGACGACGGACGACGAAGAGGACGACGACGGGCGACGGACGACGACGACGAAGACAAAAAAAAACGACCACGACAACGACGACGACGACGACGACGACGACGGACGACGACGACGGACGACGACGACGACGAACGACGACCGAAGACGGACGACGATGACGACGACGATGACGACGGCAACGGCGACGAGTGCGGACGAAGACGATGACGACGACGACGATGACGAAGACGACGCCGACGACGACGACGACACCACATGGAGATGACGACGACGACGGACGACGACGACGACGAACGACGAACGCCAAACGATTACGACGCACGACGACAAACGACGACGACGAACGACGACGACGACGGACGACATCGACGGACAACGAACGACGGACGACGGACGTTGACGACGACGACGGACGACGACGAACGACGACGGAGGACGACGACGGACGCCGACAACGACGACGACGAACGACGAACGACGACGACGACGACGACGGGCGGCGAACGACGGACGACGACGACGGACGACGACGACGACGGACGAGCGACGGACAACGACGACGACGGACGACGGAAGACGACGACGGACGACGGACGACGTCGAGTGACGGACAACGGACGACGGACGACTACGACGACAACAAAAGACGACTGAGACGACTACGACGACGGCGGACGAGGACGAGGACGACGAAACCATCGACGACGACGACGGACGACGACCGACAGACGACGGACAACGACGACGGCGACGACGTTGCGTTGCGTTGCGAAGGCGTCCTGCAGGGGCGCCACCTGGGCGCGGCGCCGCACACAGAGGTCATAGATACAAGCGGCATCGGGAGTCATCTTAAATTCTGACGCCATTCAAGCCAGGCCCTTTGGCCGTCGCGCCAAACCTGCCCTTGGAAGGGTCGATGGAGCCAATCGTCCCCGTAAAACTTGTAAGAATCGCACTCCCATCTCGAGATCCCGACGGTTCGGTGGTGCATTTGAGAACCTTGCCAGCGGGTCATGGCCTTCATCCACGACCGATCGTGGAAGCGCAGAACTCGATATGCTACTCTGTCTGGAGAGGACAAAGCGAAATATTGCAGGTGACCAGCCCAACCGTGCTGCATCCTGCGGCATGGCTATGGCCATGGCTCGATATTGCAACGCGGGCGGACCTCTTTAACCGTGGTGATCGCAGCCTTCATACACTCTGCGGCATTTTCGCCACGGGGGGGGGGGCGGATCATACTCCTAAGCACAGCGTCATGACACCGAGAAATTCTATTCATCGCTGAGACCGTGATACGCAGACTTCCTATACAGTACGTGATGGCAGGCCTCACACATCTGTCTAGGGCGCGCAGTCGCTTCTGTAAGCTGATCTTCGGGTTGGTTAAAGTAGTTCGGTGGGCCGCCCAAGTGCGCCACGCGCGCTGACTCCTATTGCGCACATCGTGCGTGCATCTTCTATCGACAGCTACAAAAGTACCCAAGACTGTTAGGCCGACCGCGCGCTTTCTACAAGGGACGATCCGTCGACGGACGCGAAGCGCGCCGATATGGGAAGGAAAAGTGTGGCACCACTCCATCTCGTCAACTGGGGCTTCTAGACCTTGCTTATTTTAAATCCTCATCCATTCCTCGGTCATCGCCGTGGCCATCGAGGCCGAACGGGCGAAAAGCCAAACATTGTCCGCGAAACTCACAACTCCTAGAACTTCGTCCTCTTCGCCAGGGCAGGCCAGGCACAGTCCCCGGCCGCTGACGACGCAAACTTTGGAATTCATCGATACATTCATCCAAGAATGTATTACTAAGCTCGGGAGCCGCCGGGTCGCCATGGATCAAGGATTTCCCACGCCGGCTCGGATTCGTGGGGGCGTTTCCAGGCAGACGGGCGCGCGCGAACGACCTGCGTGTCTCCCTAATCCAGAAGCCAATCGCTACACGGGACACCCCATGTTTCTCGAGACGTCGCGCTAGGGCAGGGTGTTTGATAAAATCGTAAAACTTCCTAATGTCCCCTCCGACGACCACAAGAGGGGGGTCTCTATATTCACAGAACTTCTCCACTAGGTGTCGCAAACTATATATTACTTCGCGGGCTTGATACGCCCTACGAAAGGCAAGCTGCTGCTCACATCTGTCACCCTCCATCGCTCCTCGCTGGGTCTCGAGAACCGTCATGCTCAACACTTTCTGGATAGCCGAGGTGAGGACAATCGGTCGGAACTGGGCTGCCCTGCTCGCGTTCGGCACTTTTCGAATCAGCTGGATCACGCGCTGCCCCCCAGACTCATCGAATAACTCCGAAACGCGGTTTTGCAACCGCAGACGAAAAGCTCCCAAGAGTTGCTCTAGAGCGTCGCCCTTTAAGGCCTGCAACATCTCCCCGACTATCATGTCAATCTCACCCCGCGACTTGTTGCTTTTTAGCAGACCAATGTACAGCTTCTGGAGCGGCAGGCTGAGGGTGGCCTCCTGCTGCTCCATTTGCTGCGCCCAGCGTCTGTTGATCCACTCTGGCAAGGTGCGATCAATGGATTCATCTCGAGACAGACTGGTGTAGAATCTGTGGACTTCAGCACGCCTGGCCGCTCCTGTGGTCGCCGCGCCGCCGTCGCTAGTGTCCAGGCTGAACACAGGGCGACCACTCTTGAACGCCTAGTCCGCCTTCCCGCGATCGCAGAGGCGTTCGAGGTGGACGGCGGCGCACCGCCCCCGCATGGCCCGCTTCAGCTTGCAGACGCTCGGGCCGAGCAGGCGGCGCGCGCGAGGGCCATCCTCCCGGGCGCGCGCCCTCTCCAGGGCCTGGGGCTGCAGCGGCTGCGGGCCCCCGGGCGGGGGCCTCCAGCTGCGTCGGCGAAGGGCGCGGCCGGCGGCCGCCGCGGCGCTGCAGATCTCCGTCGCCAGGGCCCCCAGCGGCACGATGCCCGCGCGATCGCGGCAGGCGTCTGCGGGCGGCGGCTGGAGGTGGGCCCGCAGCTCGGCGCCAACGCCCTCGCGGCGCAATGTGTCCAAGCGGCGCTTCCGCTCGCGGCGGCAGGCCTCAGCGCGGGCGTCGCGCAAGCGGCGGTGCTCCGCGGCGTCCCAGTCGGGCTGCTGGTAGGGGCGCTTCCAGTGCAGGCGTGCCAGGCGCCCGTTACTGCCCGTCTTCGCCAGGCGGTCAACTGCCTCATTGCCAACGTTCCCGTTGTGGCTCTTGACCCACCGGATGATCCGGTCGAAGTGGGGCTGGCACTGCCTCCAGAGGTGGACCGCAAGCGCGGCGAGCTCGAAATTCTCCTTCGGCTGGATGACCTCCTGCAGCAGATTGCGGACGTAGGTCGAGTCCGTGGTCACAAGGATGCGGGCGCGGTCGTGCACCCATGGCTCCGCCGATCTGCGCTGCCCCAAGAGCCGCAGCAACAACTCCACGATGGCGGGGAGTTCGCCAGTGTTAGAGGAGATGCAGCTGGCGCCCACAAAGCGCGCATCGGTCGGCACCTCGGTTACCTGACCGCAAACCTCCAGCAGAGGCGTGTCCTGGTCATTGGGCCCGGCGACGCGGCGCAGCGCGAAGCCCCAGCCAGCGGCCCTGAATCGGTGGCGCCCATGCGGCCCCCGCCCGCGGCGTGCAGACCCGTCCGTGAAGATCCCCATGGCGTTCGCGAGGTCACCCTCGGTGTACATCTGCTCGGTGGGCGGCGATTGGCTGACCTGGAGGTCCGCGCAGATCCCGATGTTGAACTCCCTCGGGTCGTCCAGCTGCCAGGAGACGGGTTTGTGGGGAGGGCGTTCAATTTCGCCATCTAGGGCAAGCTCCACCACGCCCTCGATCGCGGGGATAGGGCACCCCGCCTGGCAGCGCAGCAGCATGGGCAAGTGGTCGCTTTCAGTGGCGTCGCTGAAGCGGGCCTGGCAGTCCACCTTGCGAAGCCAGTCCTTTTGGATGAGCATGAAGTCTGTCTGTCTGGGTTCCTTGCGACTGTCGAAGAAGCACGCGCGCTGGCCCCGCTTACCTCGAAAGAAGGTGTTGGCGGCAATCAAAGCAACTCCGTCACCAGGTCACGCAGCACTCCCCCTCGCTAAGTCAGCTCCGAAACCGAGAAGGAGCCGACTGAATCTCCGTCCGAACTCCCAAAGCCGTCCTGGGCGTCAACACTGATAATGGCATGGCAATCGCTTGGCATGGGAATCAAACGCTCCCGCAGCTGATCGACAGTCTCTGCGTATTCACATCGTACTATGTGAGAAAAGAGATGGCTCGTGATCACACGACCGTGACTCTGGGGCGATCCCACGACGGAGGGTCCAAGATATTCATGGACTGCCATCGCACACCGTTGCCAAGCCCCCGCTGGAGGTGATGCGTGTACAACATAGCCGTCGCAGGTCTGCTCAGCGCCACCAGCGGCGCACCATTCTTGAAACCAAAAAGAGTTGCGGGTCGAATTCACACGCAAGCGCGTCGAGGACATGCTGACGCTCGCGGGCAAGGACACCTCTCGCATTCCACCCCAG